TCCCTTCAGCAATAACTCAAACTCTCAGTTAATAGCCACATCCTCAATCAGAGTATGTATAATGGACCTTACCATATAGGTCGTCACAATTCAATTAGGAAAAACTCATAGATATGCTGGCTTCTTGCCAATTATTATGCACAATTCGTAAGAGTATTTTATAGAAATGCCAATGCGTACGGCCCAATCAATTATAACATTGCCAAACCATAGATACATCCATTTTATTGCCGAGGTGAACGGACCGGTCCCATAAGAATGTGGTACATAAATCTCGCCGTGGCGTACAACCCGATCAATCATAGTGTGCGCACTGTCGAGGGTCGAACGACACGAACCATAGATGTATCTATCCTGCCGTGGTAATAGGCCCGATCCCATTAGAATAAGAAGTTTTGACGGGTCCTCGACCCCACTCACGAATAGTCGGGTGAGTTATAGAATTTTAGGGAACATTTCGATGAAAACACATAGCATGGGAGAATTTCGTAGGAGAGTACAATTAAATCCACGGCTTATCATGAAGCCCGTCAGATCTCTACAATAGCAGGCTTATCACTCTACGCAAGTCTAGTCTTAAATCGTAATATAAAATAAGGGAATTTATTAGGCAAGAGACAACTCAAATAGTACAGTTATAGCATGGCGGAAATCTAAGTCTATCCGGACATAATATGAATCTAGCTACGTACGGACTTTCATCACCTGGTGCATACGTAGACCCCGTAACAAGTAACACATAACAAATACATCACCTAGGGGTGGTTTTCTCCTCACAGAGTTAAACAAGAGACTTACCTCACTTCGAAGTTTCATAACCAGCTCCAAGGCCTCTCTAACACCTCAAATCAAAGCCCGTCGATCCAAAACTATTCAAACAACGTGCAAACCAGTCAAAATATATTCTAATATCCATAATTAATCATTTAAACAATTTCCAACTCCGCTTGAGCAGTCTATAAAATCAACCCTCGGGCCCACGTACCCGGATTCCGAAAATTTTTGAAGATAAATCCTACCCATAACATTACTAACTCGAATATACAATTTATTCTTAATTCCATTTCCAAAACCGTGGTCAAAATCCAATTTTTTTATTTCTAGATTTTCTTACCAAAATCCCATAAAGTTTCCTAAATTTTCTTCCTTAAATCCACATATAAACCTTACATTTAGCTTACAATAAGTGGAAAATTACTTACCTTATGTTACATGATGAAATATCTTCAAAATCACCCAAGAACCGAGTTCCCAAAATCCAAAACGAAATGGGGAAAAGGACCAAGTTCGACACTTTAATAATCTGCCCTATTTCGCTTCTGCGAAGTCCCCGCCCAGTCGCACTCTCGCACATGTGGAACCAATTCCGCTTCTGCGCCATCGCAGGTGCGAGTCTCCTTTGCGCATATGCAAAGACAACTGCTTCTGCGCTGAAGATTTCCACCTCTGCGGGTCCACTTTTGCGGACCTTTCTCCGATTCTGCGTATCTTCACTCTAGGCCCCATTTCGCTTCCGTGCTCATGCACCCGCATCTGGGTCCTGGGGTAGCGTTCGCGTAGGGTCTTCTGTGGAGCTGGTATTTTTGGCCTTCGTAATCGTGATAAAGATCCCGCGATCGCGATGCATAGGCCTGGGTAGTCTTAAATAAGTCTATTTCGAGGGTTTGGTTATTTCATCAAATTTTGAGATTGTGAGCTCAGATTTGGGCAATTGTTGCCGTGATTTTCACGATTTGGATTGGGTTTCGAGCCGTTCGGAGGTTGATTCATACGGGATGGCGCTTTTAGAGTACCGTTTTGGCTCTTTTGAGGTAAGTATCATATCTAAATTTGGTGATGCACTAATTTCCTGAGTTATTAGTGATAGCTATGTGTTATGGATGTCGCATATGTGGGGGTTTGAGCCCATTAGCATGCATAGGGTATTATTCATGCTCGAGATAGTGCTCAGGTTGTGATGGGCTTGAATTGATTACTGAGCTTCATGCTATTATGTTTTTTATGTTTGTACCCCCTTTGTGAACTAATTGAATCATGTTTGAATTTACATATAGGTTGATCTCTTGATTGAACCTGATAGTTTCTATTTTGTGATGAAGTTTCCTAATTTGAGCTATGGTAGTATACTTCACACATGCATACACCTTAGCATGTCATTTATATTAGTTCATGAGTATGTAATTTGACATTCATTGTTCAAGTACATGCTTTCTTGTATATATGCTTTCTGTGTAATATGGATTGGACTGATGGCATGTGAGTGGTCTGTGTGAGATAGTTACTATGAGCACGTGAGTTGTCCGTACTGGATTGTTATTATTGGCATGTGAGTTGTCCGTGCGGGTTGTTACTGATTGCACATGAGTTGTCCATGCGTATACGAGTTATGATATTATTGGCACGTGATTTGTCCGTGCATCACGTGAGTTATCCGCGCGGTTGATATTATTGACACGCGAGTTGTCCGTGCAACACCTGCGTTGTCCGTGCTGTTGATATTATTGGCACGTGAGTTGTCCATGCAGCGTGTGGATAAGGATCCATCCCCAGGGGCATCCTCTCATGTTTCTCTCTTGATGGTGTACATACGGTATGGGGAAAGTTGATCACTGGTTTGGTTTGGTTATTGTATTTTTGAGAAAAACTGGCCAACGTTTGTTTTTGTTATTATATTTCTTCTCTACTTGCAATTTCCTTGGATATATACATGATTTTGCTGCATATCTTCTCTATTTGCTAGCTCTGGGGTGTATACATGCCTTTATGCATATCTTCTCTATATGCTACCTTACTTGATGAGGAGAGACAAGGTACATATCTTCTCTTTATGTGAACCCGTGTGACTTGACTTGTTTAATCATGCATATCTTCTCTATATGCAAGTTTGATGATTTAATGATATTGGACTCATATCTTCTCTATATGCCGGATTGTTAACTGATTCAGGACTTAGCACATTATCTCTTTGTGCACCGATGTGGTTTTATTTGTGTTGTATAATTGGATAACATCAGTGTTGTATACTTGTGAAATATAGGAATTGACCTGGTTATTAGCAAGTATCTTGCTACTATTACCTCGCCGATGTTAGTTATGATACTTGCTAAGTACATGAGATCGGTCGTACTCATGCTACACTTCTGCACATTGTATGCAGATCTTGGAGCTGCTGCTGCTGTGGATGACAAGAGATGGCATTGAAGATGTACCTACTTTCCGAATATAGCTACCACTTGTCCGTGGTAGTTTTATATTCATATTCTGTTTATGTATATTACAAACAAATAATGTATTTATTTTCATATCAACTTTGTAAATCTAAGTCTTAGTAGTTCATGATCTGTACTACCAATCCTTGAGTTATTGTATGGAAACTCAGCTATGTCATTTATTGATTATCTATGATCTTCATTAGAGTTGTGTTGACTGTTGCTTGGCTTACCTAGCGAGTTGGGGTTAGGTGTCATCACGACTAGGTGAATTTATAGGTCGTGATAATAGGCATGATTTCTAGGTGTAACAAATAGGCACTGTGAAAGAGACGCATAAAAAGGACAACATCCTATAGGCCTAATTTCTACCCATTGCACGATCCTATTCGCGTGCCGTCTAATAAACGATGAAATAAGCAATGCTCCCCGTCCCCAGATTTTACTCACATCCCCATAGTTAGTTACATGATTATTACATACCCAAGAATAAAGAAAACAAAACATACAGGCCTAAAATGAACAAATACATAGCCTAGAGAATTATAATCATGAGCCCAGGTAAGTATTTGGGCCTTCAGGATCTTCCCAAATGCGACCAACGCCCAACAGTCTAGCCTAGGATCCCACAGTAGCGGCATATGGCCCAATCAATCAAGCCCGAGTTCAGTTTGACCACTTATAATCACCCCTTCACACATTCTTAACGACTACCAGCCCAACGTACATGCAAATTCTTATAGACTAGTCTTTTATATGCACGATTATGAGATTGACACAAGTCTTAGCTAGAAGATGCACACAAAGCTCTATATGCATGATCTATAAAGTTAAGGAGTGCACACATTTCCTAATTTCACAGTGATCTCAGGTTCAATGCAGCAAAGGAAAGACACACATGAATTTACTAAGTCTAAACAGAAGGGAGCATGAAGTCGTATAGACATATGTACTAAATTTCACCAAACCAAACAGAGATGAAAGTGAAGTCCTATAGTCCTGCTATTTACCATGACAAGGAACATGCAGAAGAGGTTTCAAGGATATGTTTCTCAACTTAAGATAGCAAGGTAAGGCACATGTAGCATCATATTGAGTTTCCGGAAATAAACATAAAGCAAACCCCTATAAACATGATCTCTATTAACAAGTTAATACAGTCAGACATAAGATATCACTGGAGAGTCCTATATGCCTAGTACCTACTGAATTTAAATATTAGCTTGGAGAAAAGAATACAAGTTTAACAGAAAAGGTCCTATTGGCATGGACTCTAGAATGCATTGAAGGTTTGAATGAGAATGGTCAATCGAAGTGCAAATTTTAATCATAGCATTTAAAGAAGTCAGTCACATATGTAAGCTTCAATTATATAGAGTCTTTGGGTCATGATAAATAACAAGAATTAAGAGAAAGTCAAGTATGCAGGCTTCAATCACAAAGACATCTAGAGTTATAGTTTTGACGATATGGTACTACACAAGAATATTAACATCACAGAAGATTGAATTGCTTTGTTAAAGGATTAGGCTTAATAGTGAGGCATAAGCATAATTGATTGATCTTATGGGTATACTCTTCTAGGTTAATTTTAGGAAGACATGCAAACAGACATAGAAACTACTAGGGAATCACATTTAGAGTACGGACAAATAATACATGAGTCACATAAACAGGCATGGTATCAAAAGGGCACGCATAAAGTTATTCCTTGAACTATAAAGATATACGACTACAAAGAAGATGCGAAGAAGTCTAACATGTTTTAAAGGGGAAGAAATACATATGGTGTCACGATCCAAAATCCCGCCTTGGGTGTCATGATTACACCTAGTCTCTAAGACCAGGAAAGCCGATTACTCTTACAACAGTTACGCCAGTTAAACATGATATTATAAAGCAGAATTTAATATAAAATACCGAAATAAAGGTGATGCAAGTCTACGCGGCGATAATCACAACAATCCTCTCAAGACGAGGTAATACAGAGTCACAAACTCTACTGAATACATAACATAATTCAAAATACAATACTGTTCGGATAGAGATTTGACAGTAGTAATATAAGCAAAGGACTCCATGGGACTGCGGCAACCAAACAGCTCTACCTTGAATCCTCGCGATCAAGAAGCTAACTTTGCTTGAATCCGTTATCTCCAATACCTAGATCTGCACAAAAATGTACAGAAGTGTAGTATGAGTACACCACGGTCGGTACCCAATAAGTATCAAGACTAACCTCGGTAGAGTAGTGACGAAGTACAAATCAAGACACCTACTAGTCATAATAATCTGTGCAGAATATCAGTATAAAGCTAATAACGGAAGCAAGAAACCATAACGGCAACAAGGGATACACATGTAGAAAAGTAGTAATGTAATCAGAACAACGTTAAGTACCGGTGAAACCAAATAAAAAAAATAAATGACAACCAAATATTCAAACCGCTCTAATACAAGTTTCACAACAAAAATTACTATGAGATACCTCCTTTCAAAATCACAAATCACGAGTCCCAAATCACCAATCATATGTTTGTGGCACTTCGTGCCCATATTATAAATCACAACCGTACGGATAACTCACCTGCCAATTCCTCAACCCGCCCGTCATAGTCACAGGCTCACTATCAAAATCCGCCTGGTGTGGTCACATGTCCAATATCACAATGGAAATAGATACACAAGAATACGTGTGCGAGATCAATAAATCTCAAGTTTCATACTTCTTAACCGATATAAATGTCATGCTACGGTGTATGTATGTGCCAGTGTACTATTACAATCCAAGTCAACATATATTGGAAACAACACAACAAGTCACGTAAGGTGCATGAAACACACAAGAAAAATTACACCATCACATGAATATCATCAACATCGTGCCCCCAGACAGTCACATATCATCCCTGACATAGCCACCCTTATTTCTCCCCATTGACAAATCATAATAACAATCTGTATTACTCCAGACAATGTATATCAATAGTCACATGTATCACTCCGCTTAGACAATAACACAATAGCCACCCGTATCACTCCGCCCAGACAATAACACATTAGCCACCCGTATCACTCCGCACAATCAACAACAGTGAGATGCCACCCTTATGCTCCGCATAGAAATAATTAATCCACACAATAAATTCACATGTGTCAGCATCACAACAACACAATATATCAACTCGTACCACAAGTGCCCATAGGCCACAACCTTTCCAAAACAACAATATCAATATCAACACAACACATAGCCCACGACTCAACCACAATGTGCATAAGAATCGCAATAACAACAAAATGAAATGGGAAAAATTACTCGACAATGAAAAATAGTCCATTAAACAACAACTTCAACTAAAATAGGTTAATGTCTTTCAATGACTTCACTTCAATTAATTGCTTAAGAATAAACTCAATAATGAAAGTATTTTCATGCAATTGCAACTCCAAATATTAGTGTATGGCACAAGCTAACAATGAAAGAGATGGTCATGAAATAGCAACTACGTCTAAATGCATGAGAATAAATTGTCAACGAGGGATATCATGTAACAACTTCAATTAAGAATAACTTAACAATAAAGAAGGTCACATTACAATAAAAGAGGTAACAACTTCAAATAGAGCATATAAGCGTAAACTTGATAAGTAAAAGATATAACATGTGCTAATAACTTCAAATAAAGCATGTGAGAGTAAACTTGACAATTAAAAAATATAACGTGCACTAATAACTTAAAATAAATGCATGAAAGAAGCCTAAGAGTCTAAACCAGTCAATTTTCATATATAATCCTGTGTACACACTCGTCATCTCATGTACACATCGTCCACGTAATTCAAATAATGCAATTAAGCTCATCCTACGGGGTAATTTTTTTCACATAAAGTTAGGCAAGATACTTACCTCAATGAAGCTAAATCAATACTCTAAAAAGACCTTTCCGTGTGAAACAACCTCCGGATGGCTCGAATCTATCCAAAATAACTTAATATCATAAATAAAAATCATAAAAAATAATTTCGGATAATAAAGCTTCGATCATTAATAAAAACCAAAAAGTCATCCCAAAAAGTCAACCCCGGGCTTGTCACACCTCATTTTTACGGGGAAAGAAGTTTTTCCACTTTAAGTGATATTATTGAAATGAAATTATTCATTTTACTTTTGAGAGTCGCCACTTAGAATAATTATTTACGGTGTCTCAAGTCATCATTTAATTTAAAATTCCAATTCAAGGAAACTGACTCTCTTTATGTTTGTGAAATACAGAAGATCGGGTAAGGAATTCTGTTAATCCGGGAGAAGGTATTAGGCACTCCCAGATTCCGTAGTTTTAGCATGGTCACTTTATAATCATAACTTGGCTTGATTATCTGTTAATTACGTATTTTAAAATCTATGTGCAATTTAACCTTTTACCGCATTTAAATTACTTGATGATGGCGTTATGAAATTATCTTGAAACGAACCACGTGTGTGTGAAACTGTTTTATTTAGTGTGCTAAAATTATATCACATGTACGTGTACACGATTAATAACACTTAACTAATTATTAAGATTCTTTGGCCAAAGTCGCGCGGACACATACCTTGATTTATTTTGGGATCATAATTATGTCACACGAACGTGTACATAATCACGATAATATATTAAAAGCATGCCTAAAGCATTCTACGAGTGTTCAAAATTGTTTAGTCTAAACTAATTTATTGTTAATATGAGGCATGATTATGGAAAAGCATTGTGAACTCAAAATGGGTGATTTTATTTATTTATGCCTAAACGTGTAAACAAACCCAATCTTAACACATAGCATTTATAGAAACAATAGATGATCACGTTTTCTTTAATTTAATAAATGGATAATATTATAGGCTTGATTTGCAAAGAAAACATGAGCTAAACTCAGCGTGAGTCCAGACCGCGATACGGAATGGGCTCAACATGGATGGCCCAAACAAAGTTCGCATAGTTTCAAGAGATAAACCCCAAAGCATTTGTTATTTGGAACTGGGCCTAATACTGGCCCAGTATAATAAACTTGATTGAACAAATTTCAGTAGATCCACATCAGCTACATACCCTCAAACAATATGGGTTAAACGATAAGCAAACCCAATTAATTCTAAGAGGTTATAACCCAAATGTTCAGCTAATAACCTAACTGATTTTGCTAATTACAACAATTAGGGAAACTGAGTTATTACAGGCTTTTCAAATTAGCTTTACAAAGAATCAATAAATTAAAAAGTGATCTTCAAATTTTAAACTATGGGAATTAAAATAGAATCAACTATTATACACCCACTTTCACGCCTATGAAACTTTGAGTCAGGCCTGGTACTGGCCAAACTCCCAAACTTTAACATTAGCTAGTGTTTCATTTTCTATTTACAGATCTAAAAGTAATCATTGAAACTTCACATATGATATCAATTACACACCAATGACAATTTTAGCTTTAGGTTATTCATACAAGTCACGAGATCAAATCTCATACTCATCCTCTCAGTTGTTGCTTAGGTTTACAACATGCTTTAGACATTAGCTAGATCAAACAATTCAAATTCAATTCGAATTTTTAATTAGACATGAAAGAATATCTAAGGAACACATAATGAACAAATTGAGGCAGATATTATAACGTCATGACATCCACATTGGCAATTACATAATCTGAGACTGAAAAAAGTACCTGGATAGTGGATAAACAATATGCAATTAGCCCAATAAATGCGAGAGATAAAATGACAGAACTCAACTAAGTAGGACACAACATGCAACTTCAAATATGGACTAAAAACAGCTTGAAAACCCAAGAAAATAGTATAGAAGACCTCCTTGAATCAATCAATATCAGCTAATTATTTTTTAGTATGAAAATCAACCTAAACTTTTACTGTTTTTGTGTTTTTCCTCTAAGTTTTTAAAGCTGAAAATTTCAGATCTCAGAAAGGGAATTTTGAATTTCAAAACCTTTTTTCAGCTCTCTTTGGTGAGAGGTGCGTGAGTGAGAATATATGATAGTGAATATTAGAGTGAATGTGAGCAGTCTGTTATGTAGAATAAATTTCAGCATCTTTCAGTTTTGCTCCCTTTTCTTTTACCCCTCCTAATTTCTGCTATTTTTCTCCCTCACCGGGACCTTTTCAGTTTTTTATTACTAACAATTCCTTTTTACTCTCTTCTAGAAGCTTTTCCACCAATTAAGCTAAAAATTCCTTTAAGTTATTTCGTAATATTACCCTCTTATCCCTGTATTTATCTCTGACCAACAGGCTCATACCCAATCCCCCACTTGACGGGCCAGCCTGTTAAGAAATGGCAGGCCCAATTCTTATGCCCAAATGAACCAGAACAGATCAATCATCTACTGCAGACAAACAATCTCAGATGCAACTGCAACCTAATTAAACATAAAGTAATTGACCAAATATGCAACTAAACTAAAATCAAACAATTAATCACCAACTAATCCAAACTCTTAATTAACCTACTTGAACAGAAATTTCAATACGTGGTCATTAGGCAAAATTAGAGAAAATGGGAAAAGAAGTATACCAGTCAACATAAACAAATTCGGCGAGTGAGAAGATATCCAATGGTGAAAAGACTCCGGCAAGCAATAGAGGAGAGTGAATTCTGGCCGGTCAACGGGATTTGACCGACCTTCGGCGACCTCGAAGTGACCTAAAACTAACGTCAATCGATTTCTCTCGTCAAGAGCAATTGATCAGCATAAATTTCAAGTCAAAACGAATTGAAAAAGGCCGAAAAATCGAAAAGGGGACATATTAGGTTTTAATATTTTCCTAGATCTATTAATCGTGGAATTTGGGTGGGATTTGAGGGAAATGAATAGTGTATTTGGACTGAGGAAGGGCTGGGGATTGTAGGGTGACAATTTGGAGTAATTTGGAGTGGTGCCGCCATCGTGGGCAATATCCGGTGGGCAGTGGGCGACGGAGAACAGTGAGGGTGAGAGGAGGAGTCTGAGCGTGGTCTCTGGGGGTGGGGTAGGATGTTTAGGGAACTTTTATGGGAATAAAAGGCCAGTTCCTGGCCATTGGATATTGTTTGAGGGAAAGTGGAGATCAAGGGGGTCCTGAAGCGGCGTCGTTTTGATTAGTGAAGGGCTGGACCTGGTTGAAAAATGAATGGGCTGGTGTTTGAATGGGTTATGATCTGCACTAAGGGAATTGGGCCGCCTAAAATGTGACCCAATTCGAAATAACAAGCTGACAGCCCACTTCTCTTTTCTTCTTTATTTTAAAACCAAACCCACTTCTCTTTTCTTCTTTATTTTAAAACCAAAATCATTAATTCATTTTCCAATTTTGAACTAACCTGTAAAACTAAACTAGTTATTATTATTTTCTACTTACCAATTAGCTACTTAACTAATTAATATTAAAAATTGACAAAATAAAAAGAACTAGTAAATTAGACATAAAGAGGCTAAAAACATAACAACAATTACTAATGTACTATCTTCTACATATTTTTGTGATTTTTATATTTAAAAATGTCAGTACATGAAATTAAAAACTAGTAACGCAATAAAACCTAAAGTGCAATGAATGAAAGATAGAAACAAATATTTTTGGCAATTTTATGTTTTAAAGTCTTCCTAAATATGCAAATAAACGCAAAACCAAACCCAAATAAAATAGAGAAAATTTTCTAAGAGTCTATAAAACTATTTTGAATATTTTAGGAGTAGTTTTATATGTGGGGCAAAAATAACGTGCTCACAACTACCCCTCTTTGCTCGGAAACGTGAAGAGTTTTCAGGAAAAGACAAAGTGAGTAATCATGAATAATATTTTCTCGTTTGATACTCCATGGGAAGCATTTTAAAAAGTTTGACCGACCTTGCTACCGAGGTTGCTTACATATCCTTGGCTGTAAAGGAATCAAGTCAGTGTAGTTCTGGAAATTTGGTAACTGGGACTACCAAAGATCTGTGATTTCACCGCTGTTGCTGTTGTTATTACTTGCAGAACTCCTTATTACACCAAAATCAAAATCGAAAGAAGCTAAACAAGCCCATCAGCTATGAGTTACAAGATTCCTATTTATAAGTCTTCTGAAACTTGATCTTGAGTCTTGACTAGTCCTTCATGTAGACTCTAATCTGAACCTTGATGCTTGCTAGCTGTAGGTGCTAGTTCATTCTTCTAGGGCTTCTTCAGATCAAAACGGGAAACGCAATGCTCGTGACTTCAATTATGTCTTGAGCAGTCCATATCTTTTCATCTACTTCTGCATTTTGGATTCACTTCTTTTTTTTCTTTTCTTTTCTTTATTATAGATTGAGACTTATTTTTTTGATCAGCTCAAACTCCGTACCTCAAGATAAAACCTGCTCAGACACCAAAACAAATAAACAAATGAAATGTTTCTACCTAGTTTTTACTAGGAAAATTTTGTGGGTTGTTGTAATAGAACTTCTAAACTACTTCATTATTGAAAGCAATAAAAGGTCAGAAATGGTGTACCTTGGGAAAAAAACATGATTCTTTGGGGATGATGTACCTTTATTATCAAAATGATGCCTCAACTACGGATTGGTGTACCTTATGTTGGGAGAATGCAACTAAGGAATGGTGTACCCAACATTAGCACAAATATTATGGAGTGGTGTACACTGCATTTAAGAGAAAATCAACTAGGGAGTGGTGTACCCTATGTTGGAAAATATAGCTAGGGATTGGTGTATTATATACTGTTAAAGAGACTAGAGAGTGGTATACCCTATAATAACAAAGATATCAGGGAGTAGTATACCCTATAATAATAAAGATATCGGTGAGTGGTGTACCCTGCATTTAATATCATTCAACTAGGGAGTGGTGTACCCTGCTTTTAAGCTCAATCAACTAGGGAGTGGTGTACCCTATGTTGGACAACACAGCTAGGGATTGGTGTACCCTATACTGGTAAATAGACTAGGGAATAGTGTACCCTTATGTCTAAAGATAATCATCAACTAGGGAGTGGTGTACCCTATGTTGGACAACACAGCTAGGGATTGGTGTACCCTATACTGGTAAATAGACTAGGGAATAGTGTACCCTTATGTCTAAAGATAATCATCAACTAGGGAGTGGTGTACCCTATGTTGGTAAAAAACTAGGGAATGGTGTACCCTATATTTGGAATGATATAAGGGAGTGGTGTGCCCTGCATTTAAGATCAATCAACTAGGGAGTGGTGTATCTTATATTAACAAAGATATCAGGGAGTGGTGTACCCTGCGTTTAAGCTCAATCAACTAGGGAGTAGTGTACCCTATGTTGAAAAACACAACTAGGGATTGGTGTACCCTATATTGGAAATGATATAAGGGAGTGGTGTACATTACATTTAAGATCAATTAGTAATGATATAAGGGAGTGGTGTACATTGCATTTAAGATCAATTAGTAATGATATCAGGGAGTGGTATACCCTGTGTTTAAGCTTAATCAACTAGAGAGTGGTGTACCCTATATTAACAAAGATATCGGGGAGTGGTATACCCTACACTTAAGCTCAAATCAACTAGGGAATGGTGTACCCTATGTTGGAAACATAGCTAGGGATTGGTGTACCCTATACTGGTAAAGAAACTGGGGAATGGTATGCCCTATGTATAAAATATCATCAACTAGGGAGTGGTGTACCCCATGTTAGAAAAAATAGCTAGGGATTGGTGCACCCTATACCGGAAAGGATATCAGGGAGTAGTGTACCCTGCATATAAGATCAAGTAGTAATGATATCAGGGAGTGGTGTACTCTGCATTTAAGATCAATCAACTAGGGAGTGGTGTACCTTATGTTGGACAACACAGCTAGGGATCGATGTATTCTATACTGGAAAGGAGACTAGGGAATGGTGTACCCTATGTCTAAAGATAATCATCAACTAGGGAGTGGTGTACCCTATATTGGAAAACACAACTAGGGATTGGTATACCATATACTGGTAAGTAGACTAGGGAGTGGTATACCCTATGTCTAAAATATCATCAACTAGGGAATGGTGTACCCTACGATGGAAAACACAACTATTGGGGTACCCTATACTGGTAAGGAGACTAGGGAGTGGTGTATCCTATGTCTAGCAATGATATTAAGGAGTGGTGTACCCTGTATTTAAGCTCAATCAATAATGATATTAGGGAGTGATGCACCCTATATTTAAGATCAATCAACTAGGGAGTGGTGTACCCTATGTTGGAAAATACAGCTAGGGATTGGTGTACCTTATATTACCATGATTTTGAACGTTTTTTTAAGAATGAGTAAAATGCGGGAAAGAATTTTGAAAAGACTTCCCTTTTTTGAGAATTTTGTTGTTGCAGAGCTGTTTTAGTATCCACATGATTTCCTTTTTGTGGCACCTGCTTCTTGTGAGATTGTTTTGCATTGCACCCATTTCCTGTTTTTCAACAAAGAACAATTTGTTAGTTCAAAATGGTGGTTGGTTTTGTGGCCTTGAGTGTTTCAACCACTCGATCTCGGTCCATCCTATTTTAATGATGATTTCAACTGTAGCTGGTTGTTTCCTGAATACCAATTTGGCTTTCAAACTTTGCCATGATGATCAGTAGCGTGAGACTTAACCTTTTCAACTTTATTCTGGCTTTGTGTGAATTTCACCCTTGACTTCTTTTCTTCCAAAGTTTTTTAATTTTAGAGAATTGGGGAACTTTTGGCTTTTCAAACTTTGCCATGACCGTTAGTCGCGTGAGACATAACCTTTTTAACTTTACTTTGCCTTTGTGGGCACTTCACTTTTGATTTCTTTCTTCCAAAGTTTTCAATTTCATAGCATCGGGGAATCTTGGCTTTCCAAAATTTGCCATGACAATTAGTCACGTGAGACTAAACCTTTTCAACTTTACTTTACCTTTGTGGGCACTTCAATCTGATTTCCTTCTTCCAAAGTTTTCAATTTTAGAGCGTCGGCCAATCATGGCTAGTCGGGATCGACTCAATGCCTTTTCCGAGGCTGAGTGCCTTTTGAATATATCAGCTCGCTTCAAACAAGGGCCCTGTAATTGTTCTTGCCGTCTCTTATTTGCCTTATTTTGGAACAAAGTTAGACTAAAAAGGATGCAAAGAAAAACAAACAATGAAATAGAGAATGAGTTTAAAATAAGAGGTGTCCCTTTCGGGGAACAGAAAGATGGAATTATCTGGGAGTACAACGAACTTCAAGGAACATGACATGCCTTTTGGACTGGATGCTTGATCTATGTAAATCGTTTGACTCTTAGAAACTCATCACAACGTTTGCCTTGAAACCGAGAAACCTTGTCAAGGACTGTGTTGATGCCATGGCGGCATGGATCCTCTTTTCGATCAATAGTTCCCTTTGCGGGTTTTCACTAGCTGACCTCTCTTATTTCTCTTCTCGCCATCGCCCGACAGTGCCTGTGAGGGTTTTCACCAATATGACTCTCATTTTATTTCTCTCATTTGGTTGCATCAGATCCAAGTAACTGCATCCTATAATTCTTGAATATTCTCGCCGATTGATCAGAAGGACTTGAAAAGGATTTGGGTAAAAAGAATTTGGATTGAATTACAACTTTAGAACCTTTCGGGCGAAACCATTGCTGAACCATTATAACATTTGCCCCAGTTTTCACTTTTGGGGGAATATGGATTTTTGTTTTGATGTGACCGAATCCTAGAATGAGGCTGCCTATGTATCCTTTTCAGATTCAGGTCGAGCGTTTTTCAATTAACACAAACTCTTTTTTTTTTTCCTTTTTTTTTCATTTCTTTTTTTTTTCTTTTTTTTTTTTGATTTTCCAAATCTTTTTTTCTCGTATCTTTTTCTTTTCTTTCTTTTTACATGAAAGGTTCCAAAGAGTATGATCAAGGAAAGGGTAACTGACTCAAAGGGTTTGCAAAGGGTTGATAGTGTTTAGGTAGCAAGAAGAAAAGATGTCTTCATCCCAACCGGAGAATATTAATACTGCATAGAGGGTCAAACATAATACCTTTTGACTTCGTCTGCATTTGACAATTGTTTCAGGGACATTTCCTTCGGTG